CGAAGGATCAAACTGGTTGAGTCATATAAATTTCTTCATCAAGATCACTATGAAGAAAATCTATTTTCACATCCAATTGATTCAATTCCAATCCATACTGTGTCACCAAAGCTAGTAAGATCTGAATCGAAGAGTGCTTCACCACCGGAGAGAAGATCTCATTGTAGTCAATACCTTCTTCCTGTGCAGAACTCTTCACTACCAACCTAACATTAAACCTCACTGGAGTGCCCTGAATGCCCTCCTTCTTGGTATACACCAATTTGCAACCAATTGCCTTCCGCCCTTTTGGAAGCTCGACAAGCTCCCATGTGTCATTCTTCTGAAGAGACTCCATCTCTTCCCGCATAGTTTCCCACCACATATCAGCCTCTGAACTCTGTTCAGTCTCTCTAAAGGTAATAGGAACCATCTCACGACACTCTCCATCGGAAGTGCATAAGCAACCAGTATATTTGTATACCTCGCTAGCAACTGTATGTCTCTCCTTGGTCACCAAACTACAATAGAATCCTAAACCTGAACCGTCAGTTCCTGATCCTGCTCTACTATACCTATATCCTCTAAATCATCAGTATGATCACCTGTCATCACCTCAGTCAGCATTGTAATGGATACGGTCCCATCTGGATACTGTGGAGCTACATCAATCTTCACCATCTGTGATGTCTCCTCTGTCGGGGTGCTCTCCACCTGATGAGAGCTGGGAGACTTCAAGAACGAAGTCTCATAAAATGTGACATCTCTGCTCAACACAATCTTCTTCTTAACTGTATCCCAAAGCTTGTATCCTTTCACAACATACTTGAATCCCACAAATATGGTATTTCTATCACGAGGTTCTAACTTATCGGTTAAAATGATAAAATGCAAGGCATCAAAAAACCTTTAGCTGATCATAATCGTGTGCTGGTTCTCTCAACTACATCTCGATAGGAGTTTTTCCCTCTATCGTTGATGAAGGAAACCTATTAATAAGGTGACTCGCATACGTAAGTGCCTCAGCCTAAAATATCTTCTCTAAACCACTCTGCGATAACAAATATCAGA